CCCACATTAAAAAAATTGGGCCATATAAAATAAACACCTTAATGATGCATCTTAAGGTTCTAGAAAAACAAGATCAATTCAAATTCAAAACCTGAAAGAAATTGTAAGAGAAAAGCAATTAATGAAATTGACAATAAAATAAAAATACAAGGGATCAATTAATCAGAGTTGGTTCTTTGAAACCATAGACTGACAAACCTTGTTAAACTTATCAAGAGTCATATTAATATACTTTGAGATGACAAAAGGCAAAACCACAAGATAACACTGAAATCCAGATGATTATAAGAAACTATTTTGAAAACTCATGTTCCAATAAATCATAGAAACTAGAAGAAATAAATTTCTAGACACATATGAATTATCAACGCTGAATGAAGAATATATAAACACCTTCAATAGATCAACACTAGGCAATGAAATAGAGGTAATAATAAAAATTCCATCAATTAAGAAAAAAACCAGTCAGTTCACCACTGAATTTTACCAGAACTTCATGGAAGTAGTGCCAGTACTCCTCAAACCCTCAAACTCATCAATTAAACTTAAAGGGAAGAAACACTGCCAAAGTCATTCCTTCAATATATCCTGATACTCAGAAAAGGAATTCCTTCAATATACCCTGATACTCAGACAAGGATTCCAAAATAAAATAAAATAAACCACACACAATAGACCAGTATTCTTAATGAACATGGATGCAAAAATTCTCAATAAGATACTTACACCATGACCAAATCAGCTTAATCCCAAGGATGCAAAAATGGTTCAATATACATAAATCAGGGCAGGCATGGTGGCACACACCTGTAATTCCAGCATTCTAGAAGCTGAGGCAAGAGGATTGCCATGAGTTCAAGGCCACAAAGTGAGTTCAAGGCCAGCCTATATTACAGAAATAGACTCTCGCAATACCAATTAAAAAAATATAAATCAATACACCACATAAATAGATAAAAATTACACAGTCATTTAAATAGGTACAAAGACCTCTGACAATATGTAACATCCATTCATGATTAAAAGAAATTGTGATGGAAAGGACCTTACCTCAAACAATAAAAGCCAGTTATGAAAAACCCACTTCCATAAACATACTAAACTGGGAAAAACTGAAAGTCCTCCTTCTAAAATCAGGAAGATAAGGGTGTTCACTCTTACAATGCTTACTCAATACTGTAATCAAAATTTTAAAGCAATAAGTAAAGAGAAAGAAATAAATTAGGTACAATTAGGAAAGGTAGATGTCAAACTTCCCTTATTTGCAGATGACATGATCTTTTACACAGAAGACTCATAAATCCCAAGCAAAAGACCCTAAGAAGTAATAAATTTAGCATAGTGGCAGCATACAAAATCAACACACAAAAATTTAGGATTAAACTCCTATACAACATGGTCCCTTAAAAAAATTAAATACCTAGGAATTTACCTAACCAAGAAAATGAAAAATCTCTATAATAAAAAGTATATTGCCCTGACAAAAGCGACTGAAGAAACTTTTTGTTCTTGGATAGGCAGAACAAAAATTGTCAAAAGGGCCATATTACCAAAAATGGTAATATTATATAGCAATTCCAATCAAAATACCACTATCATCCTTCACAGAGCTAGAAAAAGTAATTCTAAAATTGATATGGAACCAGAAGAGACTCAGACAAGTCAGAGCACTCCTGAGCAAGAGAATGAAGGAGGCATTAAAATCCCAGATCTGAATTATACAACAAATGTACAGTAATCAAAACAGCACAGTACTGGCAGAAAAACCACCATGCTGACCAATGGAACAGAACAGGGGAGTCAGGAAAAACCTCAAGCACCTTTAGCTATTTCATTTTGACAACGAGGCCAAAAGCACACACTGAAAAACCATAGGGTCTTTAACAAAAGGTGCTGGAAAAACTGGCTATACACATGTAAAAGAATGAATCTATGCCTGTATCTCTTACCTGCACTATAATCAAATCAAAATGAAATCAAAGATCTTGAAAGAAAAACAAAAGCACTGAATCTGCTGGGAGAAAAATAAGTAACTACTTGAAGATTCAGGCATAGGCAGGGATTTTCTGAATGAAACTACAACTGCATTAGATACAATGCTGTACCTAGAATCAACGAATTGGATCATATCAAATTAAAAGGCCACAACAGCAAAGCAAACCACCAAGACAGTGAAGAGATAAACTCTGAAACAGGAAAAAAATTTGCCAGGTACTACTTGGACAAAGAGTGGTATCTAGATTAGAACTCAAAAAATAAGATCTCCCCAAAATAAAAAGATCCAATCAAAGAATGGGCAACTGAAACAAACAGAAGAACAAAAAAGAACAAATGGCCAGTAAGTACATGAAAAAACGTTCAGCATCTTTGGCCATTAGAGATACGATAATCAAAACAATACTGAGGTTCCCCCTTATATCAATAAGAATGGCTATGGTCAAGGAGTCACAAAACAACAAATGCCACTGAAATTTAGGAGAAATAGGAAATTTTTTATATTTCTGGTAAGGATGTAGGATGTAGACTAATAATCACTATGGAAATAAAGAGACATGCCAAAAAAACTAAAACTATAAATTCCATTTGACCGACTTTTACCTCTTCTTGGTATCTTCCTAAAACAAAGTCCTGTTACACTGATACATGCATACTAATCCTTATAAATTAGCAAAACAAGTGTTATGTCACAGCAGCAGCCTGTACATTCATCAACACACATTAGAGGATAAAGAAAATATGGTTCATACACACAATGTACTCAGCAATAAAGATGGATAACTTTGCATAATTTGTAGGAAAACTTAAGTCTTGAGGCCACTGTACTAACTGAAATTAATAGAAAGCTTAATATGGTACTGTTTCTGTCATACCAGAGAATCCAAATACAAATAATTTAAAGAGCAAAAGAAAAGATGGTAGGACATGGGGAGATAGACTCTGCAGATGGGAAGAAAGTCAGATGAAGTATTAGAGATGTGTATTAGGAAAGGTAGTATAAGTGAACAACGTGAGATAGAGCAATTCCAAAATGATTAAATGTTATGTATTGCAAACATATACTAATAAATTTCTTAAAATGCAAACAAACCTATCTTTCTCTCTCTCTTACACACACATGAACCAAATTTATCTAGCTATTACTTTCCTAAGGTGGAAGAACAAATATCAAACATAAATTTTATTATTAACCTGAAAAATCATCATTTTTGTGAAGGAAATATTTATTTACATAACCACAATGAAGCTTTGATCTACAGGTTACAAAATATTTTCTCACATGTTAAAAGTCATTGAATAGGGCTGGAGATTTAGCTCAGTGGCATAAGCGCCTGCCTTGCAAGTAGGCAGTCGTGAGTTCGATCCCCGGTACCGATAAAAAGACCAAAAAAAAAAAAAGTCATCGAATATTAAATGAGAACCAGGCTTGTTTTTTTAAGTCAACAGCATATAATTTGAGCCACAGCTGTTAAAGTATCTAAAATCTTCTGATTTTAATTCCCAATAGCCATTGGCATATCTCAAAAATAATCTGAACACTATAAATTTCTCAAATTCCAGTAACAGACAAGGGTACATGTAAAGATTAAGAAAATGCATATCTACATCTATATATAGCTCTCTACTTCCTTTTTGATACCAACTATGCTAGTATGCTTCCTTTAAGAGGAAATCATCTTTGAACATACAATAATTTTTCAACCAGACCCATTGTTTGTACTATTCAATAACTATTTTTAAAATGTAAAGTACAAAATCACTTAGTAATTCTATCACTTTGTAGCACAGATGATCTGTCCTTGTTTTTCTTGCAGCAAAATCTTCCAATGTCCAAATTACAGTGGTTGGTAACCTTAGTCTCACAAGCTTGTGAATAGTTTGCAACCATTGATTACTGAGGTTTATGTGCTCAAATAAACTTCTGAATAAATTATTTTCAAGTAAGAACACTACTTTTGGGTTAGCAGTAGGAGTGCATGTTTAGATTTAGAATATTTAACAGTACCCTACAATGTGTAATTCATATAGAAAACAAAAGGAAGACATAGAAAGTAGTAAACACATTCAGGGTATTACTAACATTAACAGTAAACTTATTAACAGTAAACACATTCAGGGTATTATTAATAGCCAGGGTTATTATTAATAACCATGGAAGTAAGAAAGAAGCTGGAGGTATTTGCCTTTTAGAAGGAAATTTTTCTTTCTTTAATAATAATTTATAAGAGCTGGGCATGGTGGTGCACACTTGTAATCCCAGCACTAGGGAGGCGGAGACAAGAGGATCCCTATGAATTCAAGGTAAGACTGAACTAATTAGTAAGACTATCTCAAAAGTAACAAAATGAACAAACAAAAAAAGGAAAGTAACTCAAAAGAAATATTTAAGTCATACAGTAAAAATGAAAAATAGTTATTAACGATTTTGTTTTTGTTTTTTTGAGTCAGGGTTTCACTACACTGTTTAGGCTGGCCTTCAAGTCACTTTGTAGCCTAGGCTGGCTTTGAACTTACAGCAATCTGCCTGCTTCAGCTTCCAGAGTGCTTGGATTACAGGTGTGTGCCACCATACCTAGTCTACTTGACAAAATTTTTTAAAAAGCTTTTCAGGAAAAGCAATAAAATCAGCAAAGAGTAATATTTATAATGTGAACTCTATTTTAGAATAGTAGAGACTGACTGAATCGTATTAGATTAAGAGTTGAGGATTGAGGGTGAGGAGGCAGAAGACAAAGAAAAGCAAAGGACAATGCCTGAAACTGATAAACCAAGAAATGGCTAAAAAGCACATCACTTAAAAAGAAAAATGACAGTTGCCTCTGAAAAATAGGACTTTAGAGAAGTGAGAGCCTAAGATAAGAAATCATTGCTGGTTTCCATCATAAGCTCTTCAGGGTTAATTACATTAATTTTTAACTATCAGTTTGATAAGCATAAAATTCAGAAAAATAAAGTCTCCCAGATATGGCAATAACATTAATTAGGGGTTTTCAGGTACATACTTGACCCTCAGGGAAGTCAGGAGGGTAAATACTTCACATGCTCCAATCCAGGTTTTTGTTCCCTGTAACCTGTTATTAAGTTGAGAGGCCCCCTGAGGATCAAAACCTTCTTTCCATGCATCTTCAATCATAGACTGAATTTTTGGAATACAAGGAACTGACATACCTAAAATTATATGAGCAAACAAATTATAGGACAGTTACTAAAATACCAAACATTCAGTAGTTATTACATACTTTAGAGGAACCTGCAAGACAGTTTTACTGCCTTCTATTATATCATTTTCTCTCACTCTACCCAGAATTCAAATTTTATAAATAAGAAATTTCTAGCCCAGGTGTGGTAATGCACACCTCCAATCCCAGCACTCAGGAGGCTGAGGCAGGATCATTGCGAGTTTGGAGCCAGCGTGGGCTCCAAAGTGAGTTTGAAGGTTTGAAGCCAGCCTGAACTCATAGTGAAATCCTGTCTCAAAAAGTCAGAGAAAAGAAAAATCTTATTAGCTATAGTACTTTTATTAGCTATTAATTATGCATGATAAATATTAATTCATCCCAAATCATATACATTATATCTGTGTTTCACATACCTTTCAAGCAATCATCATAAGCCTCATTCTGTAATAATGATGAAAGTAGCATTTGGAAATTTCTGTAACCACAACCCCAACTTTTGTCACCTAGAGAAGAATGAAAGTGATCTACCACTGCAGAAAGCCACACACGCCTCACATCTGTGGCAGTACTCTGATAGTATCTATGAAGTGCTTCAATAATTCCTGAAGAAAAACAGATTTGAAAGACAGGAAGATTTGCTATCACCATTATATAGTTGGCATACACTTTTTTATTTTTAAATTTTTAATCTGTGTACGTTTGCTACCCTTACTGATTAAACCTCTGAGGAATTAACATGTACATTACAAATCTGAATTCTAAGTGCTATTTCCCTTCCCTCCCTCCATCTCTGTATTGCCTTTCCATCTGCAAAAGATCTCCTTGTTCCTACCATCTCTCTTATACTGGGTTCTTTGTATGATTTTACCTTAGTTTTCTTATATTAGAGAACTCATACATTATTTAAGTCTATATGTCTACTTTATTGCACTTCATACTATAATCAAGATGGATCCATTTTCCTAGAAATGATTCAAGTTTATCCTTTTTTGTGAATGAATTATGTATACATGTAAAATATATACCACATTTCATTATCCATTCATCTACTGATGAACAACATGTAGGCTGCTTCCAAGATTTAGCTAGTTTAAGTTGTACTGTTACAAACATGAGAATGCACGTTATCCTGTAATATATTGTTTAATGGCCAATAAATACATGAAAAAGTGTTCATATCTCTGGGTCTTAAGAAAAATGCAAATTAGAACAATGCTGAGATTCCATCTTACTCCAGAGATAGCCATTATCAAGAAATAAAGTTGGGAAGTTTTCAGGGCTAAAGGAACCCTTTTACATTGGTGTCATACATTTCTAATGTCAACCTTGCACAAGTTCCAAAGCTAAATCCCACCAATTCTTTTTCTTTATTCTCTTATTGCTTACCTTAGCCATGCCCTTGTTTGTTACTATATCCAAGTTTTCTAAATTACCATATTATCCTTTACAGAGAATTGACATTGTTTGTATCTTCTATCTCTGTTTCTATAGCACCAAGCACCTAAAACTTCAACTGCTGAATAAATGTTTTTCTCTCTCTATTTTATTACACATACTGCTGCAGATCACTAAATCCTGAACAATTTGCTACTAATAGAGACAATAGCTCCCAATTACACATAGAATTATGTTAATCCATAGTACATAAAGCCTCTTGCAATGTATTTGATTTTAACACAAAATAAAATGAAATTATATAAACTTGGTTGTACATATATTAAAATTATGATTCCAAATTTACCACTTACCAGAAGTTTTTGTTTTTCCATCATCAATACCAACAGCTAAGGATTCCATCAGGTCAGCTTTTCTCCTGTGAAACTCAGTTGGATGCATTCTTCCTCTATTTACTTCTATTTCCATATTCCGTAGTTGCTGTTCTTTATATCCTCCAGACCCATCTAAACCATACTGTTGCTATTAAACATGAAAGCAAATGACTTACTCTTTAAGTCCCCGTAGATCAGTGATATGGAAACTTAGAACAAGTTTATTACTTAGAAAAGTTCCTGGAAACATTTTGTTTTATACACTTTCACATAGACTACATTATGCATGCACACAGATATTTTTAATAGTTTACAACGGACAGACCACACGGAGGGCTAGAGACAGCAGCACTTAGTACTCTCTCCAAGATGTACAGATACTTGGGATGGTGAGGAACAAAAACTCAAACATGGTAAGGTACTAAAAGTCTACCAGATGAATTCCAGTGTGAGGGGTATAGAGAAAGCAGGGCTATCTTTTGATCTCGGAATGGCTCACAGACAAGATTCAGGGGAATAGGTGAGAGGTCATCCTAAGGACCTACCTCATGTGGATAAGACTTACGCCTCCATGGAGAGACAGGTCCTATACCCTTGAGGGCCAGAACCTACTCCATTGAGGGCTAGGATCTAAGCCATTATGGACAGGTACGAGGGACAGGTTCTATGCCTTGAGGGACAGGACCAATGCCATTGTGGGACAGGACCTAACACATGAGAGAAGCAGCTGGACAGCTATGGTCAAACTGCTGCAACTATTGCCAGTCCTAATAGCCATACCAGGGGCCCACCTGTCTCAAATCTTCCCACAAGGACAAGAGCCACAAGTGGGCCTCCAAGGATCAGGGCATCAAGGAAGGCACAGGACAGAGAATCCCTGGAAGATGAGGACTGAGTTTTGACAGAGCCCTAGAGAGGAAGGAAGGTAGCCTAGAACCTGGGGTGGTCCAGAGGCCCTGAACTGTATCAGAGGGACCTATGGGACTGAGTTGTACCTGGCTGGGGAGGTCACTCTATCATTGCACGCCACACCCTACCCAGGCTCTGAGATTACCCACCTAGTCCTGGCAGAGAGGCTCCATTCCTTCCTGGCCAGGCCTTACACACCCTTGCACTGTGGCTAGATGGAGAGGTGGGGTCAGAGGATCACACAGCGGGCACTGAGAGTAAAGGAGCTGAACTGAACAGCTAGAGGGGTGACAGGAGGAAAGGGGCAGAGATAGCATAGGCCTCTAAAGGCTGATGGTGTCCAATCATAAAATGGCAAAACCTCACACTGGTCATAACCACAGGAGCAGCGTTGGCTGCAGAGATGACACAGGGCCCTTCCCTTCCTGGCAGGCATAGGGCAAATGACTGGGGAAAGCCTGCTCCAGCCCTGGTGGGTACATCAATCTCTCAGCTACCACCACAGAAGACTGTGGCAAAACCACCAGGGACGAGTACTGTGTTCCGCTTCTGACTGCAATGTTAACAAGACTGAGAACACAATGTGCTTTTGAGTTTTTGTATGTATGTGGTTTTTCCTTCATCTTTTAATTTTTCTCCTTTCAACTGCTATATGTATGGGATGTGTTTGTATATGTGAAATGGAGAATTAATTTGTGTGTTAGTTTAGATGGTATCATTCATGTATATGTCAGGGCTATCTTAACTAAAATATGTGTATGGTAGATTCAAACACAACTGTTCTAAGCATGTTCACTGTTTGTTCTTACAGCTTCCCCAATCTCCAATTATATTTTCTTCTCCCTTCTTTTATTCCCCATAAATAACTTCTTAAACCCCCTTGCTCCCCACCACCATTTAAGATATAAAAATAACATCACCAAATTCCTATTTCTTTTCCTACTTTCATTTGCTGTTTATCTGTTTCCTTTGTCCTTTCTGAATTTTTTTTTTCTCCTAATTCTTTCAGTCATACTCATACTCTACATCCCAGCCTACTTCTCATCAGTATTATTTCACTGGTTATTGAAAAAGAGAGGAACTTGTAAAAATAAGATTTAAATTATCTGATTGATATCTGACTGGTTCTGTAGATGCTGATGTAACTAGTTGTTGGCTCTTTGGAAAATAGTGACCAGGACTAACACTATGACACTGAGTAGACTGAATGGGTACACAAACACCAAAACACAAATCAGGTCAGGTCACATTAACTGTTATGGTTTGTGTCTGGGTGGCCCCCAAGCCCCAGGCAGTCATGAAGGCAGCTGAATCTAGCATTTGTGATTGGTTCTTTGTCTAGCGTTGGGATTGGTGATGTAAGTGCTGCACCTATCCAGGAGTGAGTAACTAGCATACCATATATGAGAGGGAAAAAGGTATGCCTTTCCCTCTTTTGCCCTTGCTATTTGCAGCCATCGTGATTGGCTGCCCCTCAGCCACATCACTCTGCCTTGGAGCCAGCTGAGTATGGACTGCAACTTCCAAAAACTGTAAGATAAATAGACCTTTCTTTGTTTAACTTAGAGTGTCAGATATTTTGGTTCAACAAGGAGAGAAAAATAACAAAGACAGTAACTAAAGAGCTCTGCATAGCAATGGCAGAGTTTTCCCTCCTTAACTGATCTTTAAACACCAAAACAAGAGAAACACAAGAAAACAAGGCAGCAAAATACCTTCAAAAGTTCAGTTCCTTAACCACAGCTCTCACAGGCACTAAAGGGTTGGAAGTTTCACTCAAAAGCAAAGAACTCAAAAACTAAAAGCTTTAAACGTTTGAAGAGAACTTAGAAGAAACAAATTGAGTGATAATTAGCACTATACATGTCAAGCCTTCCAAGTATACAAACAACCTCTCAACAGGTGAGACTGTGTGGCCTTGACCTCACGAGACTAACATTGTTTTCTTAGAGCTGAACACAGCAAAAAGAAAGCCATGATGCAGGCAGCTGGATTTGTATCCTGCATGCAATCATGGAAAAGCAGCATTTGGTATCATTGTTCACTGCCCTGAAATGAAGTCTTGGGTCATTCTTTAGGAAACTCACTAGTTATACATTTGGGCACAGAATTCAGTCTATATTTTTAGCTCTGCAGAGTCTTTAAATGCCTATGTATGGAGTGGGGTATATGGGGTATCTCTGTAACTTATTTTCAGTTTTGCTATGAATCTAAGAATACTTTTAAAAGTGAAATCTTTAATGATGGTTTTTAAAAACTAATGAAAAAGTAAATACAAAACAAAGCAAAAACTAGCATGGTACAGGCACAAAACAGACACAGTGCAAAACTTCATGTACCTTTAACCATCTACATTTGGGAAAATGAGCCAAAAACACGTGATTGAAAATAGCCTCTTTAACAATGGTGCTGGGAAAAATAGTTATCCAAATGTAGAAAAATGAATCTAGATCTTTATTTCTAAACCTGTAATAAAATCAAATGAAAAACAGATCAAAGACCTAGATATAGTCTAGATATAGAAAACTAGATATAGTCTAGAACTTAGAAACATTTGAGTTGTGAACACTCAGAGATGTACTATATAAGGTTCACTTTGTCAGATTATGAATGAAACTGACTTAAGAACATTCTCCCAGAATGGAATCTGTCCATAAATTGTGGACCTATAGTATACATGGAGAAAACCAGATCTGCTCGAAGATAAAATAGGTAAAACTCTTAAAGACATAGACATAGGTAAGGACTTTCCAAGCAAAACACCAATTACACAAGAAATGATACCCAAAATCTACAAATACTGTATTAACCTAGAAAGATTTTTCTATACAGCAAAGGAAATAACCAACAGCACAAAAAAATTACCTGCAGAATTTAAAACTCAGGAAACATCAATCCAAGTATAAATTTCACTTCTAAGTATCTGAACGAACTGGGGCTTAGTTTTTTTATTTGTCCTATCAACTTATATAGGTTTTAATCTAAGTTTCAGCACCTAGTAACTGTCTAACCGGCCAAATTACTTAACTATTCTGTTTCTATTTCTTCATCTACAGAGAAGGAGAGGGCCAGGGATATAGCTCAGTGACACAGGCCTGCCTGGCAAGTGAAAGGTCTTAAGTTTGATCCCCAGTACCAATAAATACATTAATAAATAAATGGGAAGGGAGTATTCTTCATGGATTTATTGTGAAGATTTTGAGATACTATACTATATTCTAGTATCTCACCACAATGAGTACTTATAAATTATGGCCATGAACTGTTAGACACGCACGCATACACAAATACTTTAGAACAAAATAATACAGTTAATAATACAGTCTTAAAAGCACATTTGAGGGACTGGGGATTTAGCTCAGCGGCACAAGCGCCTGCCTTGCAAGCAGGCAGTCGTGAGTTTGATCCCTGGTACCAATAAAAAGGAAAAAGACAAAAAAAAAAAGCACATTTGAGAAATAAAAACTCTAATTCAAAATGTTATAACTGTAACTAATCTCATTACCTGCAGCTGCTTGAATTCCTCCATTTCTTGTCTAGATTCTTCAGATTGCTTTCGGTCTTCTTCCTGTTGAAGCTGGTGAGCCAATTCTAGATCAGCAGAACACTGAATTCTATCCATGCCTATTAAACATTTTTAATGTTCAGAATAAAATAACTGCTATTGTCAAAGCCTATCAGTCAATAAATATCTTAAAATAAGGTCTAATATTTGTTACTTATTTATGTTTGTGATGTCACAGAACCATACGGTATCAATGTGGCAAAGATCAGAACTGTTTCTCCGTTTAACCGCCATTCAAACAACAAATACAAACACTCCTCATTTAACAAACAAGTTCCGGTCCTGTGACTAGGCCATTAATTGAGCTGGTCACTAAATGAGGAACCGTATACAGTTTGTATGTTATAATATTCAGAACAAAGAAATGGTCAAAGGAAACTTCAACTTGATAACTTTGCTTTTACTTATATAACTCTTACATGCAGTACTGATTTGCAATAGATCATATAACTACAGTACTGTACTGTTTAATACAATTAGCAGAAAGTACCAAAGCAGGCATAACATAAAAATATACATTTGCAAAGTATGGGTATTAATAACTTCATTACAATTTAGTCTGAAACTGTATAATGTTGCAGTATCTTAGTCTGCATTCTTTCTCTGTCTCCGTTACCTTCTGTTTAGTTACTTATCTCTTGACCTCTGTGTTAGGATTCAGCAAAAAAAGTAGAACCAATAGAGAAAGACAGGGTCGGGGATTTACCTCAGTGGCTTAAGTGCCTGCCTGACAAGTGCGAGGTCCTGAGTTCAATCCCCACTACCAAAAAAAAAAAAAAAACCAAACAAACAAACAAAAAAAAAAAAAACAAAGAGAAAGACACAAAAATGTATGTGCATATGATGATATTAATTAGGGGACTAGCTCACACAATCATGACAGTCTACCTTCAGCCAGAGAGGACAAGAAATTAGTACCACGGCCAAGTTCAAAAAGCCAATAACAAGAGAGGGCAAGGATGTACACCTCAGTGCAAGAACCCTAAAAGAGCCAATGGTACAAACTCCAGAGTCCAAAGGCCAAAGAAGCTGGAGTTTGATATCCAAAGTCATCATAAAAAGGCCCCTTAGTGCAGAATCACCAGCTAGAGTGAGCCCCTTGCTTAGCTTTCCTGGTCCATCCAGCCTTAGTTGGACAATGACTATGCACACCACAGCCAGATTATTCCCACTCAGTTTGCTGTCATATAAGTCAATGTCCTAGGGAATCAACCTCACAGACATACCTGAAAATAATGCTTCACTAATTCTGAGGCATTGCTTAATCCAGGTGAGTGACAATCCCCCAAACAGATGGTTTAATGGCTTAAGAGAATATTCTTTTTTCTTTTAAACCTTTCAGCTGCTGCTACATTTTCCTATTCAGTGACCCCTTCTATTCTTCAGATATGCAATTTATAACCAATTTTTAGTATATACTGAGTCTATCTGTAGTGATCTGATCAGACCATATCCTTTTCTCATTACTGATTACAGGCTTATGTAAGAACATATGTACCCATACAGAGCTCATCATAAGCAGAGTAGGAATTACCAGATGTTTCGCCTCAACAGGGCTATCCTTCCATAATACCTCTTATGGTCATGTCTAAAGGAGAAAAGCATACCAACTGGAATGGGCAGTAGGAAAGTACCAAGAAGAGGACTATTCCATCTCCGCTCCAATAATTCTATTTTGGGATTATGCTGAGTGAGCAGGTAATATTGTGCAAGGAAGATCACTGATAGTTACACTAGGATCACTGGTACTGAACACTAACCCTGAGTTTAAAAAAAAAAACCCTGAAATACAGTAGAATAAATTTGTTTCTTTTTAAGATCTACTTTATATTCTTTTTCAGTAGATTTGTGAAACTCACATAGGATTCTTCCACTTTTAAAGTAACATGATTAATTAATTCCAATATTAGGAAAAACAGAGAACTAGTAGTTTTAGAAGTTGGGGCAAACAGCTAGAAATGCATTGAGACTGTTAGGCTATACAGTTCACATACATCTTTAAAATTACATTGTCAGTTGGGTGTAGTGGTATGCTCCTTATAATTCCAGCACTCAAGAAACTGAGGCAGAAGGATCATTACAAGTCCGAAACCAGCATGGGCTACAAAGTGAGCCCATGGACACCCTGAACCACATAGCAAGACCCTGTCTCAAAAAGACAAAAATAAATTATGTTGTCTATGTGGCAGCTTCCTAGTATAATAGTTTTTGCTAGTCAAATACTAACTGCAGTCATTTCTAGCAGATGGCACTGATTTGTAAATCAAATCTGCTCAAGGGCCAAGGATATAGCTCAGCAGCACAGCGCCTGCCTGGCAAATGCAAAGTCCTGAGTTCAACTCCTGGTACCACCCCCCGCCAAAAAAAAGTTTTTAAAATTGCACAAAATGCTAATATCATTATCTTAAGTGTTAGTATGTTCCAAATGTTGTTGCTTTAGAGCAAAATCCAGAACCATATATTCTTTACTTGGAAATTTAACTCCACATTTATCCAATCTTTTTGTGAAATAACTTCTAAGAAAAAGCTATACCTACAAAATAATTACTTGAAGAACAGGTTATTTTAAATTTTCTTTTTGATCTCTACATAACCTAAAAATAAAGTATGTAAGATATATAAAGGGTAAAAATTAAATCAAGACTTTTTTATTTAGAACTGTAACCTTACCTTGTTGAAAATGCCTTTCTTCTAAATGCAAGTCAACATGTTCCTGGAGAATATGATAATTTGTACAGATGAGCCCACACATAGGACAGTCATACAATGGTTGACTGCAGTCTACATCAGAGACAGAAGTAATGGTAAGTTGATTATTTTAACTTTTAGATTTTTACCATATGCTAAACGCTATATACCAACTACTAATTTTACTATACAGGTAAAAGGTCTGTGTAGGTAGATTTAAACAAGTCTTTAGACTACTACCTACTAACCTTATACAAATAAAAGCTCTTGGTAGTTGAATTTAAAAGCTATTTTTCTACTTGTAGTATCAAATAGAAGACTAAGCACAGTCACAAACCTCTTAGCATTCCAAAAACAAAGTAATAATAAAACATTGAGATCTGTAGTCAATATTTTAAAAGATGAAAAAGAAAACCAACATGAAGAGTAGGAATGCACATGGATATTGATTTGGGGCAAATTCTCGGTACCCACTAAACAAACTGGAGAGATGCTAAACTTAAGTACTCAGCATGTAGCTGGGAATAGGGCTCACTTCTCCCACTTGGAGCTGATCAGAGATGGCGTCATAAGATAGCACTGTAGGAAGATGGGGCCAGTTTATCCTCAACATGAGTGGAGCCTCTGGAATACTAGAAGACTCTGACATAGATATAGGGCCCAGAGCTGCTACAAAACGGTAAAAGCACCAAGCAACCCACGGATGGAGGCCTGGTTTGGAAGTAGAGATGTGAAATGCTACAGTGAAGGAACCACCAAGCTGGGCACCACAAGATAAGCCTGCAATCCCAGTAACTCAGAAGGCTGAGACAGAAGGATCACAAATTCAAGCTCACCTGAAAAACTTAGTAAGATCTTGTCTCAGACAGATGGATACACAGATAGACAGAAAGAAAGAAAACAAAGAAACAAAGAAATAAGAGTTGAAGATGCAACTCAGGAGTACCTCTGGGTTCAATTTCCATTACAGGGGGAAAAAAAGTACTGCATCACTAAAATAAAAAGGGAAGTGAGTCAAAATATTCCCAAAGGGGGCAGGGATAATATTCTCAAAAGCATCCACAAGACATAAAGGCCTGTGGCTTTCATATATAATGCTATAGGATGGGAGAGAAATTCTCTACTATAAAATGCCTCAGAGCCTTTGGTGATCAAGAAGCGAATTCTTCTCTTGCTACTTTGAACCACTGTATTTCATAGCACCTTGAAGCAATATACACTTTCTAACCCATCAAAAATCTAAGCCTCACAGGTCAACTGCCATCATCCAAGGCAGCCACCCAGGGTTACACAGGTTCCAACACTGTTCTAACAATGAAGACGTTCTAACTGGCTAGCAACTGTCCTAACAGTCTTCAGTTACCTGTATGTATATCCACTAATTTGACGCAAGCTTCATCGCTTACTTCCTGAAGAACTCTGAAAACAGCCTCCCCATCAGTCTATAATAAGTCACCTTCTCTATAATCTCTAATTTTCTCAAAATATTCACTTTGCCTTGTTGCATTTACTAAAATTTAGTCAGCCTACTTCCTTAACACAGAAGAAATTTTTCTTTTATAATTTAGTGCTCCAGAATAGAAACCATATCTCTTTTGCTTTTCATCATTTCAAATCACAATCCTTCAAAAGCTCTTTTTACTAATTCATATTACTAAAATACAGCATTTCATATCCCTTCTTTGTGGCTAATATTTTCTGAAATCCTTCATACTTCCTTTCATTTACTGAAGATTTCAGTGGCTGCATCAAAATCTTTTCCTAAATCTTACACTGTGATCATTTTTTGTCTGGTTTGTATTTTTTTTTTTTTTTTGAATTGTTTTTTGTCTTCAAGACAGGGTCTTATGTTTGGCTTGCCTTGGTATAGGCTAGCTCTGCATTTGCAGCAATCCTCCTGCCTTGGCCTCCTAAATGTTGGGATTACACACAGGTACCACCAAACCCAGCTACATTGTGATCATTCTAAGCAACTTCAGTATCCACAGAGGTAACTCCTTCACTTCACTTCCAACAATCTTTACCTTCATCCTAATTTATTCACAGAATAACAAAATTACACCTTGAGTCTGTCATCAAACATCCCTCCTTTAAATTACTTGACCCTCTACCTCACATCTTTACTCTACCACTCTCAAGTCTTTGGGCTAATTAAAACCTGTAATGTATAATACATGTAGGTCTTAAAGAGTTTATTACCACAAAACCAATAGAAATTATATACTACAAGGAAATAAAGTTCATATACAAATGCAATGAAAAGATTATGAAGACAAAATAAACTGAGATAGTGTGGAGATATTCTAATTTCAACTAACTTCAACAGAATTTTATGGAACTTGACAAATGGCTGAAATGACGTGCCTGAAGTGAGGGGCAATAGTTTTAGGATTAATGGCAACATACCATTCACTGTATAGCTTTTTTTAAAGTTTAAGTTCACCACAATTTATGGTCATGTGTCATATGTAGAACACTTTATCTATCAAAGCAGAATACTCTGTTTTTTAGTTCTTGGGAACTATGCACCAAGACTGACCCACATCTTGAGCCATAAAACAAGCCTCAATAAGTTCAAAGAACTGGTCATCAAAGTGTAGTCTGATTATAATGGGTCAAACTAGAGCTCACTAATACAAAGGTAAAAGTCCAGGATAGTGCACTGGGCTGGTGGAAGCAAAAGAATATCCTCTTGAAATTGGGCAGAAAATATTCAACCTACCTAAAAATTCAAATCTGCATTGTAATTATGTCATGTTTATTTTTATATTACAATTACGGCAAATGACCAATATAGACATAAACTGGATTTAAAAATACTCTGATTTACAAACCAACTTTTAAAAAACACTTCATGTTAAACTGAAACTGTTTTTAATAGTTTATAATGAACACCTTACCTTCTAATGGTGGGTCTAAAAGACTGACATGCTTTGTTTTCACATGATTTTCCATATCTTGACTACATTCTTCTATTTTTCCACAGAATGGACATTCAGGAGGACCATACATTGCTTCATAAGTTGACTTTTTTGTTTCAGATAAATCAGACTGGTTTTCCCTACTTTTCAGGAATTTTCTAGATCCAGTGAAGGTCTCTGAATAAAAAACTTCATGTTTTAAAGTACCATCCTCAGGGATTTGAGCTGGACATTTTTGACGACTAGATGCACAAGCTTCCATTGTACTCTGCAGAGTACTGTCCTTGTTATCTGAAGTTCCATACTGTATTGTGTTTACTCTCTCAAAATTACTTTCTAGAGCATTCTGCTCAAAATGTGCAGTTTCAATATGAAAGCACATTTCATCATAATTTACACCTGACAACTTGCAAAATGGACATATAACTTCATTTTCCATGTGAACAATTAGGAGGTGAGTCTTCATATCTGATTCTGAGGTTACCATTTCACCACAAATATCACAGGGAAGCATATTAAGGATGGTAGCTAAAAAAGAACACAAATTTTTAAAGGTTCAAAATGAGAATTAAAGTAAAACATATTTCAGATTTAGGAGAATGTTTTGGTATTGAGGGCTGTAGTAATTTTTTAAGGTTATATTATTTTGATGAGGAAACTTTTAATGTACTTAGTGTTCCACAATATAAAAAATACTTATAAATCTAGGTTTATTGGTTTAGATATACATATTGATCATATTCATTATAGTAAATGCATACCTGCACATATAACTTGATTCATCTTTTTTCCCCATTCCTTTCCCCTTCCTTTTAATCCCCTTTCCTCTTCATATTTACAATGCTTTTTTTCCATTTTATCCTTCTTTTCAGTTTTTTCTTTTCTCTTTCTTTTCCTTTTCCCTACAGGCTGAGAGCCCCCAACCTGCAAATCCAAAATCCAAAGTGCTGAAATTTTATGAGTGTTGTTTATGAGTGTTGACTCAATGCCACAAATGTAGATTCCAACTTACCCTCATTTACCTTCAGGCTATGTGTATCAAATGTATATGAAACAAATGTATTTCATATTTATACTTGGGTTTAACCTTCATGGTATACTACTAGTAATAAAAGCAAGTCATTTTAAAAATAAAATACTTCAAAAAGTGCATCTGGTCTGAGGTATAGCAAACAATTATGTTTAGAAAACTGTCCAGGTAAAAAAAAGTCCAATAAAAGAAAAACAAAAGAAACCTATCTATAGACTGATTTATTAAAATACATAACTTTAAAGTTGACTATAATGGAAACTAAGTAAATACATCTTAAAACATTTAAATAGCTTGACACGTATCAAAATCACTTAGGTAGTATTATTTTATACATAAGGAAACTGTAGCTGTAATACATTACTATAGGCAGAAAACAATGGAAGACAAAAGGCTGACCCAGTCATGGGTCACAACCAGTTTCTTAACCCAAAGGATAAAAGGAGAGAGGTAAAACTCAAGTCTTTTCTCCTACAGGACTGATTTATACACACTCGCAGGTTTAATGTTAGGTAAGACATGTCCTCTCTCTGACTTCCGGTCTATGAAATGAGTTGTACTACACCATTCACTTTGACTACTTATTTAAAGGTGTAACTAAGAATTTTAAAACAATCTGGCGACCTCTTTCCTACTAGATCACAGTTCAGCTTAGTACTCTACTTAAAAACAAGCAGGAAAAAAAAGACACTAAGGGCTTCATAAAATTTAACTTTACAACACCGTCCCTATGTTATCATCTTCCTTTTTTCTCTCCACACAATTGAAAACAGTCTCTGCTTTTAGAAAGATGCTGTCTACCGCAATGTAAAAGAAGGAAAAGAGCCCGTTTCATCTTCAGTAGCCAGGACGCAAACACAAGGTGCTCATGGGGACAGATGAGCAAGAAGTCCGTGGACGAGGGCTGGAGGCGAGGGGACGAAGGCGGCCGCCGACCCGAGAGGGGTGAACGGTGCCGGAGGCGCCCGCCTGGCTGGGAACGTGGTGGGCGAAGGCGGTCAGGGCCTGAATGCCGCGAAGTTCTGAGCCCACGTTCTGAGCTGCGATAAAACCAGCCTAGACGTTAAGTCAAAGCTGAGGACCGGCATCGTCAGTCCTTACCGACCGAGAGAGCCCGCGGCCGCCACACTGGCGTCCTCCGTTCCTCTTCCGGTTCTCCGCTGCAGATCCGCGTCTCCCTCACAGGGAGCGGAGCACGTGCGTGATGTACAATCTCCCTCCCAGCCTAGAGAACTACAGCCAAGCCCGCCACATACCACGGACTCACAATTAACTCAGAAAAGCACTAGAGACTAAGAAACCTCAGTCCCCGGCAACAGATTCAAGAAAACACGCCTTCCTTCCCCGGAAGAGGAGAGATCCCAGCATGCCTTGCTCACCCACCGTCCGTTTGGGTGCATTCTGGGAATCGCAGTCTCGGTTGTGGTGCTTTCTGAAAGTGGCAGGCTTGGCTGTGTCACGTCTCGGGAGTCTCAGTTCCATCTGTAGAGCTTTCTGGGAGTTGCAGTCCTGGGAACTGAGTCCTAGTTATATGCTTCCTAGAAGTCTTGGCCCAGTTGTCCCTCCCGCGAGTCGCAGTCCTGATTGTCGTGCATTCTGGGAGTCACTGGTTGTACACCGTCCTAGGAATCACAGCCCCAGCAACAATGCCTTCTGGGATTCACAGACCCACTTCTAGTTCCTTGTTGGAGTTTTAGTTTCAGTTGGTGTGTATTCTAGGGGTTCTAGTGACGCCCCCCCCCCCCATATGCCACCTGTTTGCATTTTTCCATTCTTCCATTCGAGTTTTGACTCAGAATTTGCTAACAAAAAAACTAGGTCTAAGATTTCAAGACTCGAGCTGAGCAAATTTTATCGATCCTGGTGATATAGAAGATAGTATAATTTCCAGTCTTCCAGATGTCAGATACATCGAGTTCATATCCTGCAAACTGAAGTCTTGATTCTAAGGAACAATGGTGATTAGTATAGGAAAGATTCTTTGAGAGAACTTCTGAGAGACAGGAAGGAACCTGAAAGTGGGCTGCCCTGAAGATGACTTCTCTAAAAATATTTTATAGAGCAAAATCATAAGGTGCATACAAAATCAAGAGGTAGGTGCAATGTGACTCAAACTGTAATCAAACAATTAGATTACAAATTTAGCCACTTAGCTAATACAGATACAATAGAGAAGCAAGTCATGTAGCAGAGTCCATGGAAAGAATAAAGGCATTTTGGAGAAGGGATGAGTTCGGAGGTTCTGGTCATCCACTTGGGTGATGTCTGTCTGGATTTTTATTGGGCCAGGTGATCCCAATTACAGTATAATTCCTAGTTACCGCTTGCACGTGTAAGCTAGGTTGTTGCATGTTTATTCTGAGGCTTTGGCTTCCTCAGATGCACCTATATTGACAATTCTGGTGTCTTTATTTTTCTTCTGACTTCTTTGATAGCCCAGACCCTCCCTGACTGTATATTAATTTCTATCTAATTTAGATGCCTGTAAACTATGGCAAAGTCGTATTTACATTACTAATTCTGTAGGAATGGTTGAGTAACACCTATTCTAGTATCAATACAGTTTATAATGCTATAAAGTGTCAAGTTCCAACCTACATTCTACAAAAGCTTTAGGGTTATGATACCCTGTATCTGCCACTAAGTCTGATATTTTAGTTGTTGTTCTGTTTTTCACTCAGTCTGTTGTAGTCATGGTTTACCAGGCAAAAGATTTAATACAGGACACATAGTTTATAGGATTATTTTACAACATTTACTCAGAGAGTAAAATGTGCATGGAGAGACTCAACGAATACAGCTGAGGGCCTTGGTCTAATGGCGATTTCTGCACGAGTCTAGCTGAAGTCGTAGAGTCCATACCAATGTCCTTAACAAGTCCAACTGGAGGTCTAGAGCCCTCGTGATTCACGCAAGTCTGTATCAAGAATCTGCTCTGGGAAGGCCCAAAGGTCTATAGTGGAAGCTAGAAAGACTGTACCAGTGGGATGAAGGATCTGTGCCAGCAGGCTCAGGGATTTTCACTAGAGCCAGGAAACCAAGCTCAAGGTAAGGACCAGAGTTCTCAAGGTGAATTGCAACTATCTCAGCAACAACAAGATCCAGAGTTTCAGCCATTCTCAGTGACAGTTAGAAGCCAAGCTCCTCCTACCATGAGAACAGTTGCGCTCATATCAGGAATACCAGAATGACAAGGTTCTCTAGGAGAATAACAACACAGGATCTTCCCCTCTGGAGCCAGGAAGACTAAGGACCAGAACTCCATAAAGTGAACTTCAGTCATTCTCAGCACCAACGAGGATCTGAGCTCCTTTGATGATGAGAACAACCAAATTTATATCAGGAAACCCAGCATGACAGGATTCTCCAGAAAAATTAACAGTACGCCATTTACTCTCCAGTTCTCTTTTTATGCAGTTGGAAACAGTCTTCAAGTGGGCCTTCCATACTCAACATCACACTGATTCAGTTTAGCTGGATATTACAAAGCTGACCATTAGCTAATCCACCACACAGTCTTTCTTATTTGACAAGTATATGAAGAATGCCTATTATAAAGGCATTCTGCTTAAAACTGGAGCTGCAGAGTAATCAAAATATGCAAAATTGAGACTGTTAGAAGCTTACCTCTGACGAGGCACAGAAAACAAACAAGTAAATAAACTGATTATAGTAAGTGTTATGAAGACAATAAAATTGGTTATAGAGACACAATATTAATGTCAAAAAGTTTGCTCTGAAGACAACAGTGTGTAGATAAACAAACCTTGTGCCAACATGGGGAAGAACATTTTGGTCACATAAAATAACTAAAAAAATGACCAAAGTAGAGCAAAAAGAAATCTTTGTAATTAGAGCATAATGTGCTCAGAAGAATAACTATAAGTTAGAGATGTAGATGTCCCTTAACTCAAGTAAACCCTTATAGAAAGCTGTTAAAGTACATATTTAAATGGGAGGGTGACACAATTTCAGGAGGAACTGTGTACTTTAAAAATTATTTTAGGGGGGCTGAGGATTTAGCTCAGTGGTTCAAGCACTTGCCAGATTGTGAGGTTGTGAGTTCGATCCCCAGTATCAAAAAAATGGGGGATAGGGGTTTAGCTCAGTAGTATAAGTGCCTGCCCTGCAAGCACAAGGTCATGAATTCAATCCCCAGTACCAAAAAAAACAAAAAACAAAAAACAAAAAAAAAAACCCTTAAATGATTATTTCTAAAATGACAACGTGTAATTTATCAACTAATGATTTCTTAGTGTTAATGTTTTTTGAAATTCTGTATTATTTCTATCCTTTTTTCTGTTTTGCTTTTTCTTTAAATAAAAATAAAAAATCATTTTGGGAAATGTGTAAGGTATAGAAGATTGAACAGGTATCTATTAAAATGATAAAATAATAAGATTGTATACACACTTGAAAGTTAGAAAAAGTATAAATGAATAGTAACTAACAGCTAAATAAAGAGATAAACAAAAAATGAGTCAATGAATATTCCCCAGAAATCTGGAAATGTTCAGAAAGTAAACTAGATACTTCTGAAAAAGATATTGAAATGTGAGCTGAAAAAAATGTCTAAATAAGGTTCAGCTGTAGCTTCATCTCCAAATGTCTTCAATCACTAGGTTGCAAAGTAGCACATCTCTCCCTCTATGACAAAAGACTATAGGTATTGTTCACGAAAAAATTAAGCACAGTATCTTTTGCATGCTATCTTTTGCTGAGCATAGTGGTCAACATCTGTAACTTTAGCATTTAGGGGGCGGAGGCAGGAGTATCACTCTGAGTTTGAGGCCAGCCTGAGCTACTTAATGAGTGCAAGGCCAGCACAGACTATACAGTGAAACCCTGGCTCATACAACCACCTCCAAAAAAGGAAAATAAACCAGAAATGCAATGAATCCAGAAGTGAAAAAATAAGGGTGAAGTCAAAGCACTGTGCTGAAAATGGAGAATAGAAAAGACAAAGATGGAATTATCAATCCCCTAGTCCTTTAACCCTATCAAATCCTGATTTTTGATCTTAAAGCAGAATGAGAAATTCCTTCCCTCAGAAATCAATTGTCCTAATAAACCTAAAGATAGATATTTAAGAGCTTCTTCAAGAAAAGAGCCAGCTGCCGCTCCCCTGCCTTTATCACTCTGTAGGGAAGTCAGCAATTGATGAGTAAACTGTTGTGGGAAAATTGAATCAACAGTACCCAGAGGAGCTCAGGAGAAAAAAGGAAATTTTATTAACACAGATGGACCCCAAAAGGGTAATCTAGACTCTGAGGTGCTGATTACAGAGAGTTTGTCTTTTTTTATAGGGTAGCAAACAGAAGTCACAAAAACTAGGTAAGCTTTATCTGAGGCCCATGGTTCAGTGGGTATCTTGTAGTGAGCATAATTGTATGTAGCAAACTTGTTTTTAGGACATTTACAGAAGTTTTAATTTGATGACCAATCATATAATTTGGCTGAGTGTAGTGGCAGAGAACAACATAGCTACCCTAACCCTAACCCTAACCCTAACCCTAGCAGGATTTCTGCTTTAAAACAAGCCCTAGTGATATGCAACTTGCAATAGAGCTGGGCATGGTGGCACACTCCTATAATTCCAGCACTTGGGAGGGTGAGGCAGGTGGATCCTTGCAAGTTTGAGAAAAGCCTAGCCTACAAAGTGAGCCCAAGGCCAGCCTGAATTGCATATCAGGACCCTGTCTCAAAAAGACAAACAAAATAAAACTTGCAATAGATTTCTTTGGTATTCTGTTCTTAAACATGAATGGATACTCAGGGACCACCAGAGATTTGAGTACAGTTAATGGCAGATAAAATGGGAGCAAATACAGTTTTTAAAGTGATTTCCAAAGAAAACCAAAAATAATTTAAAAAGAAATTACAGTTAATGTTGGAAAATACTTTGAGGTGGCATAGAGCTTTAAAATTAACTAATTGGTTTTATGTATTTACTTGTGAGTCTGTTCCAGGCCTAAGTAACCTTCTTGATGAGTGGCAGCTGGCAGGTGGAAAATATAACTCCCCATGGCAACAGTCACCACAGAGACCTGTAAACCCACTAAGCTTACATAATTCCAGAGAAGTCTTTGTTT